AAAGCATTTTGTGCAAAATGTTGAAAACGAACGAAATTCGCGCAGTTTTTAGCCTGTTTTTTTTTTGACGAAGGGTTCCGAAAGATTGATTTAATTCGATTTAATTATTTCAGATATGAAAAGCTCACACTTTATGCAATTAATATTTGAACAATTTGCTTTGCAAATAAAATATAAATTATTATTGTCTCCGCGCACCCACACACACACACACACACGCACACACACACACACACACAATATCCAGTTTGATGCTTTGCACTTTGAATTTGCATTAAATAACAATTTTTCGTCTTTTTTTTTCTCGAATTATCGTTGTTGTTTTTTTTTTTGATGGATCAACTTTTTGTTTCGCTTCTGGCGCACAAATGTCGCTACCCGTGTTCCGTCTCCAACTGAATCACGAGAAATGCTCCCGGCTTTGCGGGGGCAGTGCGAGAGCAATGTCGGTCGGCTCGTTATTGTTGATGAGATTGGATGCGTTATCATCAGCAAGCGCTGGATACACCCTCATATTTACATATACATATACACAAATGTACATTCGTATAGTCTCTATACAATTGTACTAATGGACCTTGGTGTCTGGCATTTATATATATAGTGTATGTAGGCAGTAAAAGGCCTTTTGAACTCAATCATAGAGTGGACTGGGAATTGGCCGGACACCTCGCGGGTTTACATGCTGCAGAGTTCATTTGATTAGCTAAGTTTGTTCTATTTTTAAGAAAATTATGAAACCTTAAATTCCAAGCAAGCTGCAATATTAATTTGTGCATATTTAATAATTTCAGCAAGCGGCAGCAAACAGGCAATCAATTAATTTCAATCAACAGTGATTGATGATAAATATCTGATAAGAATAATATCTAGAGGGCCGACAGCAGTAGAACTCGTTCAGCTGGATATGAAAGGTAAGTACATACACAAGATATACTAAATGCTGAATGCAATTTATTAATAAAAACCTTAGCCTGAATTGAATTATAGAAAACATTTTGAAAACATTGGGGAGGGCATGTCCAAATTCGAAATATGGCCCAAATCGTTTATACTGACTGACCATAAAGAGATGGAAGTCTACCAAACGAATCGTGCGCCCCCAATTTGGGGCCCAGTTTCGAAATTCGAAGCCAATTGATTGGCGCTTGAGCCGAAACGAGTATTTATTATGGGAAACACGCCCGGGTCCATAAATCGCATGATTAGACAAATATACAAGAATACTTATGGCTATCGCAAATTGTAGACTGCTGCCATGAAAAAGGCTAAAAAAAGAGTATAGCCCAGTCAGTATTATCTAAGCCAAATGCCTCTCACGATTGGGCTGGTGTGTGATAAGAACGGCTGTGCAAAAAGTGTTGATTGCAATAACTAAAACTCGAGCTTATACCTTAATATATAAAAATATAAATATTTATATATGTAAGTACACATAAATATATGAATGTAAGTACACATCAAATGCAGCTAACTATCATATTTTGCGCTTGTTATTAAGACATTTTCAAGTACACGCTGACAGCTACAAACACTATGCACATCGTATTGATATGGGCAGCTAAAGTGCTTCCTAAACGAGAAATGAGTCATCCCCGTCAGGTTCAAGTGGGCTGAGTCAGTACTTCAAAAATATGGACGAGCAATGTCCACCGTGGCGGGCAAATAAGGAAAATACTTCAATATGGGAGGAGGAGTAGGAGGAGACAGCCGAATGTCCATCATTTACACAATTGCAAAAAACATGCTTTAACAATATTAGAATAGAAAGAGAAAAAAACAGAAGCCACTCGCAATCCATATTTGCAATGCAGCTGCATTTGCAATCCTTCACATAAGCAAACATTGCCTTGTTGTACAGTGTACTCAAGTGTTTGGCTATTACCTTCATCCCTCCGTAATACCTGTAAGCCCGCCAAGTAGTATTTACGTGTGTTAAATATTTGCAAAAATAGTTGTGGTATTTAACTAACTACTGCATGGACATTAAGCAACTGAAGTGGGCCTAAACGTCTCTATGTTTAGCTATTCTTATTGAGAACGCGACTGCGACTACGACTACGCATACAGATACGAATGTGAATACGAATGTGAATGCGAATGTGAATACTAGCATGTGAGCTGTTGTTGAGAGCGCATGACGGCAGAACCCCAAAGGCTGTACTCGGCTACAGACCCCTCAAACTGTGCAAATATTTGGGCACGTGAGATTACGCTCTGGAGGCTGTTCGACAGTGTGGCAAAGTTTAATTAAGAAATGTCAAGTAGATCGGTCGGGTAAAAGCAGGGCTGACGTGTGGAAATTGTATTTGTCAATTGTCCATGAAGTGTTATTGGAAGCATCGATGAGACACAGAAATAATTTGTCCATTAAAATACCATATTAATTTCGAGAGCTAGTTGGATACGCGTAAGATCTAGAATTCAAAAATTAACTGTACTGCTTACTCGGAATTAAGAGAAGACGTTTTTATATCCTAAACCAATCAAAAATGGGTAAAAAGGGTATGAAAGTGAGAAAGTGAAAGCATCTCCGACCCCATAAAGTGTATATATTCTTGATCAGCATCAACAGCCGAGACGATCTAGCCATCTCCGTCTGTCTGTCCGTTCGTCCGTCTGTCCGTCCGTCCGTCTAATCAAAAATCTCAGAACGTATAAGAGTTAGAGACTTGAAATTTGGAACGTTGGTCCTCATAGTGCCCGCGCAGTACGAGTTTGTTTCCGATAGTCGATAACTTGTTCTGTTTGCAATTAATCAATAAAAATCGATATCGAAATCCTGTTTTTTGAACAAATTTCGTCAGTTATATGAGCTAGAGTCACCAAACTTGACATTTAGCTTCTAGAATAGTATATTTGTATGTATCAAGTATCTTTCATTTTATAGCTATCGTCACCTTCCCGCTATAAATCAAGTTAATAAACCAACTTGTATTGCCCACCAATTTAAGCCACAATTTTAATGCAATTGTCTTTTTGAGAATATACAAATATTCTATATTATTTAGGGAAGCATTTTTTTTTGTCAATTTAGAAGGTTCAGGGGATCTCCTAGTCGGGTACTCCCAACTAGAGACTCTTACTTGTTAATCTAAGAGCTTATAACAAGCAGCACATCTCGCTACTAAAGCTGTTACTTGTTTCTTTGAATATTTATTGAACTCCCGGGTTTACAATCGCGTGCCATAAAGCGTGCTGCCTTATTGCAAACATGAACTACGCTAAAAGTCGGTCAGCTATTATATTGATATTGCGGGTTGTTTACATTTCATTTGGCAATTGGTTAGCTTTATTAATTCTTTTTACAAGTTCAATTGACATTGAATTGTAAGTTGCGCAGTTGATTGCCCCTGGTTCTATCGTCTCCCCCAGACTTATATAGAGGGGGCACCCAGGTGAAGACAAATGAGGGAAACAACAAATACAGTACATGCACACGATTGATTAAGATATATGTACATATGCATACGTATGTATATGCGATCTAGGCAAGTGAACTGTCTTCGATGGCTGATTTGCATTGCAAAATTAGAAATTGCCTTTCATTGGAGCGTGGGTTCGACGGTCAGTTTATCAACAAGAATTTCAATCGCAATCGGCTTTGCTTCAATTCGATGATCGATGTCTCAATTAGTACAAAGAAGAGCCAAGCTCATTTCCAGGTTCGAGAAAATTGATGGCGATTCCCGTTGGGGCTTATGCTGGACCCAATGAATAAAATAACAATAAAAAATAATCAACGGCTGTGCAGTAATTAAAATGCGAACAAAAAATGCACAATCGCCCAATCACAATAACAAGCTGAACAATAACAAGAATAAGGGCTAGCTGTCGCCGAATACTGAATACCCTTGCAGGCTCCTGACTTCAGGTATTTGTTCAGACTAGAGTTATTCAACCGATCAATCCTATAGGATATAGTGGACCGATCCCGACAATTCCGGCATATGCAATGCATGCATTATTTTATAATTATTATCAAGAATTTATATACTTTATTGGTTCGCAGATGACTCATTCTAGCCGTGATACCTTACCCGGCTAGGGTATAAAAAGTGTGACAATTAAAATGAAACGAAAACATTTCATGAAAATGAAATGTGCATAAAAATAAATGCATTCAAAATAAACAAACGCAAATTGATTTCAAGGAAGCGAAAAATATACAAAATAAGAAAAAATGTCAAAGATTTAAAAATATTTGTATAAGATAACATGCAACAGTCGAGTTTTTTAATCAGCCGGGCTGGGCCTATGGTACCTATAAGAATGCGGCTCTAATGGCTTTGCCTGTGGGGCTTTTAAATTATAAATAATTATCATAATGAGCTCGAGTAGATAAAATGACCACTTTGAGGCTCGGCTCGGGTCAGCTTTGTTGGGAGCTGTAGCTGTAGAAAAGTGAGGTTATCAGAGGTCATAGCTGTGGCTAGGTCATGGCAAGTCAATGGATCCCCGCGCTTTTTGATATTAATTATTGTCGTTAATGTCGATTATTTACCCTGAAAGACTCTGCGACTCTTACAAAGCAAAAGTCAAGGCCTTAACGCTCAAGAATTCGCACAAAAAATGACGCAACAAAATCAACAATAAACCATTCAGCAAGTGGACTCCACACACACACACACACACACACACACACATACTCCCACACATGCACATAAACACATATTTAAATTGAAAATTGATATTCGCAAATTGAGACGATCCCTGGGGCTCAGTCTGAGCGCATTCGCAGGCGAAAGGCGGAAGGAGAGCGATATTAATCACACACAGGGTGGGTTTACGCTTAGATTAGTTACGTTTTTGTACGGTAGGGCGGGAATCTGGCGGGAATCTGGCGGGAATCTGGCGGGAGTCTGGCGGGAGTCTGGCTTTAGAGGTTGCTAACGGAACAATGCATTTTAGTCACTGGCAAGGCGTTTGTTAAACATAAATTGGTTAGAGAGCATTCGGATGATACACGAACTGGATTTTGATTGAGTTATATAGCGAACCTGTTCTTGAAGTTATCGGGCACAAATATATTCCACCAGGAGTGGCGCTTCTCGCGCGGAAAGTACTCAACATGATTGGGATCGACAATGTCGTCCTCATCATCGTCATTCGCATAGCTGGCGATATCGCTGCTGGCATTATTGGCTCCATTTGCCCCCATACTGTCATTGGTCAGGTCGCTTTGCGACTCGCTGTGTGTCATGTTGGAGTCCAGGCTCCGTTGATTGATAAACTCCATTTTCTTGCGTCTGTGCCGATCTAATTTTGTCTGCAGCGAGCTGCGACGTCGCCGTTGGCGATCGTTGGGCGTATCATAGGGATTGATGCCCTGAACGACAGCACGCGTCTGTGTTCCATCCTCAAAATAGGTCAATTTGCCGGGCTCGTTGGGTGAGCTGGCTCGTATATTCTCCTCCGAGCTATACACTATCTCGGGACTGTTGGTGGGTGTGGCTGAGCCATCTGATTTCTCGCTGCGTACAGCCGATTCATAGGAGTCTTTGGTAGAGTTCTGCAAGTATGGCACAAATGAAGATTCGAATTAAGATTACGATTAGATTAGGTTAGTTTTGCAAATGCAGCCAAATGCCGTCTGCTTACCTTATTGCTATCACGCCGCAGAAACGAGACGGCAATGGAGCTGCGTCGCTTTTGGCTCTTGTCCGACTTGCTGGAGAAGAGACCCAGGGCCAGCGAGCTGCGGCGTGGCGGCTTCTGTGGCGGCAGGGGCGCTGTTATATTCATGCTATTCTCGGGCTCGCCATCGCCATCCACATGCTCATCGATGTTGACCAATGACGGTATAGAGGCACTGGCCCAGTCCTTGCGCAGGCGATACTTGCCGCTATCGATGACGCTCATCTTGTTAACCAATTCTTCGCCTTCACTCGCCTCAACTCAATTAACCGTTGAGCACTGCAAATATTTCGTATATTAATTAAGCGTTCCGCAAAACATTAATTGCCAACGAGGCGTGGCAGCTGGCTAAACTACATTCTATGTCTCAATCTCTCCCCCTCTCTCTCACTCTCTCTCTCTCTCTCTTTGGGTAGTCAAACTTTTACTTTCAATGAACTCCATTGAACCGAGCGTAATTAGCAGGCCATTGTCGGTCGACGACAACGATGATATCGCAGCTTGAATATATGTATGTCCGATCGAGTATCTAACTGCATGCAACGTAGAGCAATTATCAGGTTGGGGGAAGGGGACAGGGCAAAGGTAGCCAGGGGTTCGCATGTTGTGAATAGGGCGCGTTTGTAACGAGAATGAGTTGCAATAGTGCCGGCTCGCTCAAACTTTAGCTACAGCGACTGGTTTGATCACCTGCAACAGGTGAAGATCTGTACGTGGTCTGTTCAGATGTCAAAGCTTCTGCTTCTGATTTGCGCTATAGATTGTTACAGCGTTATCAAAATCCAACGATTGAGATACAAGATCCCAAATATAATTATAAATACTATACTATACTCCTAGATCTGTTTATATTTAGCAAATGCTAAAAACTGATTAGCATCTTAATGGGTTGGGTTCACATTAACGTTTCACTAAGCTTTAAAGTCACTTAAAAAATTTGAAAAACTTAATTCCACTATAGAATCGCCCAGTTGTTTATGTGAACGTAAATATAAATAATATTAAGATTTTACCAGATACAAAAAAAAAGCTAAATATCAGCTAAAAAACTATACAGCTAAACAGATGTACCCTGATCGGTTGAGTGTGCTAAATGGAAAAACAACTGCTAATAATGCAAATTAGCTGAAAACTTCATGACATCATAACAATGGCCCAACCTACGACAACAACATGACATCTACCAGCTACCATAAAACAGAAAAACAGAGAAAAAAAAAGTACACTTAATAAATACTTCAATGAATCTCGGTGCGGCCAACGAAGCGGCGCTGTCGGCGATGACGACGTCGATTTGGACAAGCTCGCGGGTATTCCAAGCCAAGCTGCCTGCCTGCCTGCCTGCCTGCCTCGCAACGAAATCGAAAGTGCCCTGTTACAGGTGTAGAATTTGTTGGAACAATGGAATGGTTGAATCCAATTACAGCTAATTACATTCATCTTAGTACAACTGGGGCCTGTAAACTGTCAGCTGTTATAGTTTAACGCCTGGCTGGGCTGTGTGCCAGCGTGTATCTGTCAGATACACAGTCTACAATTCTCGCCGACAATAGATCACAGCAGGGCTATAATTGGTACTAGTTTATACGAAAACGATGGGCATTTAATTCTGAAGAGCTGTGCGATCTGAGCTTAATAGATTTTAAATCGCAAGCATATAAATAGGTCGTTTATATCTGGGCTTGAGACTTTGATAGAGGTGCTTAAACGCTGATTAGATAGAATTAAGATTGCAGCCCCTAAAGTGGGGGAGGGTTGCCGCATTATCAATACATTTGTAAAGAGTGCACATTTTGGAGTGTTTGTTGCGTGTTTGCGAGCTTTTCGAGTGGCTTTAAACTTCAACTGAGCTCTTCTACCGAGTCTTATCTGACGAACAGATTCCAAAACATCAACGCTCTATAGGAAACAAGCAATTTGCGTATAATACTTATGAATATACATATATAGATATATATATTTATATGTATATACACACGCACAGATAACCTTGCATACGTTCAGTGCGCAACTGAAACTGACCACAACCGGTCAGTCTCAAGGCGTCGTTTACATTGCCGACCGAGAGAAGTGAAGTGAACTAAGCTGAACTGAAGTTCACGCTTGAAAAACCGGGTGAACTGAGAGCTACGTCTCATATCTGTCTATTGGCTGCCATTGGGTCTGGGTCTGGGTCTTGGTCTGGGTCTGGGTCTAGGGCGTTTTTGTCAAATTGCATCGGGCCATGAAGGTGAGACATTCGCTTCGCGATGGCTCTCTTCTATCTATTGGAGAGCCAACGCATTATGAATCCACGCTGTTCATCAATTGTGCAATGCGCATAAATGAATAGAAATCAAAGTCGATAAACGAAATCTTACTGTGTCAATGTCACGGCCAGCCAACCGAAAACTTGTTGTTTGTGTCTATTGTCAACAAACTTGTACACTCTCGCGTACTCGAGCCATTCATTTTCCCCACCCTCGCACCCTGCACACCCTGCACACACTCGTGAATGCATGGCCCATAATCTGTGACAAAATTTTCCACAGCAAGGAAAAACAAGCGTGCAAGTGGAAAACTACAGCACGTGATAACAGTCGCCACTGATAACATTAGCCACAAGTGCAACTTGGGATTAACTTCTCTATATATAAACATACATATTTGGACAATGAACATGATCGAGAACGATGCTCTTTTACAATATTAATTTGCATGTCTGTTTTTCACACTCGAATGGCAATGCAACAAACAAGTGCCCATAAAAATCCCAGTACCAAGATTGAAGATGCAACGCATGTGGCTGACAGATAAATGACGCTGCCAGAGATCGGAGTCAGAGTCTGGCAAACGTTGCAAGGCTGATAAACTCGAGGGCTAGCAAAATTTTCCATTAAAACTGATTCTATATATATATATATATATATATTTTTATTCTAGAAGAAATTGCCCGGCGTCGTCGTGTCATGTTTGCAAAGCACAATTGTATGGCTGCCTTGTTGCTGATGTTTTTATTCATACAAACTTTGACCATCGCTTTTCCCAGCTCATGGGGCGAATTTGCCCAACCCCTTGTGCTCCTTTGTTTATAAGGACTTTTTTTATTATTATGTTTAGCTTTCATTTGTATGCTGAACACTTAATTTGATTAACAATCGCAAAACGAGTTTAGATTAATAAAATTCGTCATCGTAGCTTCGAGTTACACAAATGTATATTGCAGATGTGAGGCAGCCTGTATAAACAACGATAAGAACAACAAAGTCAGAAACTCGAGATTCGTGTTAGAACAACAAATGTTAAATGTTTAAAATATTAACAATTCGTATATACAGCTGAAAAATCCCTTGAGTTTTGACCACAAGCGTCGCAACTTGAAGCTAAATATATATTTTCCATAGCCGCCAATTGATAAGCGTACTTTTAGCTCTGCGGAAAGAGCTATATATTTATGGACGCGGCATAGATTAGTGAATTGCATTTGACACAAACACAAAACAGGGGCATTGCGATTGCACTTTCGCTTTTGCAAAGCACACATGTACAGCAAATGTATCTGAAAGATACACAGCGCAGACGACTCACTAGCGCGTGGGATGTTAGGGGGGTGTAACGCATAATTTGCGGCCAAATAAAATAAAACGCAAAAAACATAAATTGCAATAAAGCGTTTCTGATCGACTGGCAATGCCCTGTAAATACTTTAGCCTCATATCGACTCGTTTATCTTTAGATAAACTCTAAGAATAAATTTACATATATCATAGAAATACATGCCACCTTTTTTTTTTTTTGTTTTACGTAAAGCATATTACCGCACATCATACAAAAAAGCGCTCACACATAGGCTAAAAGATACAAATTTATCTGGGGCTAGACGACAGCCAGTCTAAATATCGCGTGCCTAAAATAAAACATACATATATATATATATATATATATGTTGTGTCTGCGATCTTTTTTTGTTTTCATTTTTATTTGAAGCTTTTAAAGTAGTAGCAGGGGCAACAAAGAGAAGATCGATTTAAATGGTTCCTTTGACTGATGAATTGCTTAAACAGCTTGAGAATTATAGCTATAACCTGACCTTTAGTTCCCTGATACAGTGATTATTAAAACTTCATGTTGTTGGAGGAGTCATGCACGTGCATTTACGAATATGTACTTGTATCTGTTTGTCTCGCCAATCTCTCTTCAAATATTTTTATATTTTTGTATCTACGTAAGCAACTGGTAATATTGGCCTGGCTGCTCGCCCGCGCGACAGCTTGGCGGTAATGCGAAAACCGGTTGCACAAACAATTTGCTAATAAGCAACTTCAGTTCATAAATTTGTCATATGAAATACAAGCTGCCAAACATTCGCACACAAACAATTGCATGAATTCTGAAGGAATTTCCAAATTGCATTCTTCGGTCGCGTTTAGGGTTCTCAATGGGATCAAGTTAAGAACCTAAATGACATAACTGCCACAGTTCAAATTAACAATTAACGCCCAAAGCTATTTGCGCTTAAATAACTTGTCGCTTTAAGTCAATGAACTGTGGGCGAGCGTGCCTGTGTGCGTGCAGAAATGCAAAGATACAAATGTATCTACACGTGCCAGCTAATTCGTTGCAATTTTCACGGCATACCATTCAAATAAGAATCAACGTGAGAATAAAGTTGTAACAATCTGTTAACCTATATTTGCAAATTTCCTTATTTTTTTTTTTAATACTTCTACTCGCTTAAAATCTAAATAGTTAAATAGTTTCCCACATGTCACTTTGAATAATATACATACAAGAATTAAAGCACGCTAGTTCTGGGTTGGGTTAGTTGAGCAGTGGAGTTGTTAATTAATCAAATCTAAGGTGAGGCCCGGTAGTAAGCACAACCCGTTAGCTATTTATGGTCTTTATAGTAACCAACCGTATATCACGGCAGCAATTACAGTTCAAGGTTTACTGATTTCATACAACTTTCTAGTCTTAGAAATTGCAAAGATAAACATCTCCGAGAATAAATCAAGGAATTTTGTACTCAAATCAATTCTTATAATAAATTTGAGCTTAACCCTTCATCATAATCATTAACTACTTTAAATATGAGCATCAAGTTACATGGATTAAAATCCAGTTGATATTAAAGGCATTACAAAATATATTGGCATTTCCGTTATTATTAATACGATATACGATAGTTGAGTGTTAAGTGCAATAAATGTTATTAATAAAGCAGCAGACACAAAACTGCTAAACAAATCCGCATTAGAACTAAATTTAAGCTCATGACAGCCAGAAGCTAATGATGTGTGTGAACAGGAAGGCGGGAGGGGGGGAGGACAAGCTCAAGGAGAGGAGCGGAGGGTGACTTTCTGCCTTTTATTGTGTTGTGGTGATAAAGTGACATAATCCGTAACCGTGACACCTGATCCGATTTTGAGCGTGAACCTGCGCAGGCCGCAAGAATGTTGGCTAGCTGAGTATTTGTATCTGTATTCGGTAATTGTATCTGTAACTATACCGCGCACCTATATATGCATGTATCGGCATTATTTCTGTTGTCAATAATAATTTTGGTTACTCGCAAGCGTTCCTATTTTGTAAGTGTTCAAAATAAAAAATTCAATGTTTTTACCATGGCGGAAGTGATCGCCTTTAGTTTGCAAAAAAAACAAAAAAAAAACCAGTTCGGCATTTTGCTACTTTCATAACTATGTATCTATGTATTTGTATCTGTATCTGTGTGCTTAATCAAACTCAATCAATCGTCAAGTTTGTGTTCCGCAAAACAATCAACAATTTTGCTTACAAGTTGACAACAACAACAACAACAACATCAACAACAACAACAAATGCCAACCGCAAGACGGAACCAATACAAGCAAATTCAATGGTTGGCGACCCCTCCTAGAACGGTTAGCACTTATCTTGGCCACGAGTTCGCTGCGGGCGTCAAATGATTTAATATGCAAATCGGAAACGCTTCCTATAACAGATAATGTAAGATATTCAGCAAAAGTCGGGATGAGATTTGTTTTTATTTGATTTGTTAAGCAAAGACTGAAACTGAATTATAAATGCATTTTGCAAAACAAGTCCACTTAATATAGAATTTGAATAGAAGCTTAATTTGGTATTTACATCAAGAGGTTAAGGGTGACAAAATATGAATTTCTACATTGCTGCGATTTGCTAATTTTTTGATGCTGAATCGTAATGCGCAGTTCGATTAATGCACAATAATAAGCCATATATTTGGAAAAAAAAAAATAAGTATATATATTTAGAAATGGGAACAGTCTACAGTACTTGTTATGAAGGTTTTTACATTCTACGGAATATTTGCAGTGAATATATACTAACGAAAATATCTCGATCGGTTTTCTAACAAATAAATTGCAGGTGGAACTGGAGGTGTCCGTTCAAGAGAGCTTTCACTTAACTAAATATAGATGATGAGCCGACGGTGACAGGATATCTGTTTAGTAAGTTTGTCAGGTCTATAATAGAAGTGCGCTTATTTAATCATCGACATTGTCAATAAATCACACAAGCACACACAAAATAACAACGAGCCGCGACTTAAAGTGCTCTTTGTGCAGATACAAAAGCCGTCAGATACTTGGGACTTGGAGAGCATATGAAGTGCCTTTGTGAGCGGCGATTGATTTTTGGCATATGTATGAGCTCGTGTATTTATTTGTGTAATTATGACATTTTTTTCACGCCATGTTAAACAAACAAATAACGCACAAACTGACAATAAGCCTCTTTGTCTGAGACAAGCGCACAGAATTAAAAAATTCATAAATGAATTAAGTAAAAATATATAAAAGATATCATTTTAAGTGAACAGTGTGTGTCGAGTGCGTTCTCTGTCCTGCGCCAAGCCTTTTTTCGCTATGCGTATGTACATATAGATATATTTACATATAATGTAAGCTTTTGGTCTGCTTCACAGACAAAAGTTGCGACTACAACAAAAACAGACAGAAAGACAGATGATAACGATGCGATTGGTTGCTTGCTTCCTCATGTGAACACGCTTTACATGAAATATGTAAAATAATTTTAACGGTTCGAGCTGCCCCACGCAGCGCTTGTCACTCAAAACCAATAAAAAGATACAAAAGTATCTACGCGGTGCAACGCATCTTTTATTTTTGCATTTCCGCATTTAACGCATTTAATTTATATTTACAGTTGCTTGCTGCGCACCGTAATTGATTTGCATAGCTGGCCACGCCCACAACGATATGCGTCAATTTATTATAAAATGTTTTGCAACGCCATATTTCCGCCTGACTTGACTGGCCTGGCCCGAATTTGGACCCAGTTGGCATTTAATTTATCTAGCCAAAATTAATATTTTTTTATCTGTAGAATCGCTAGACTTTGGAGTCCGGGCGATAAAAATATTAACAATCAGCGAAGGGAAATTGTGTCAAAGCGCTTTCGATTGAAAGTAAAATATAAACAAAAAAGCAACTTTATGGTGATTAAACAAATTTATGAAAACAGAATGTCTTATCAGCTGAAGAAATTCAAAGCAAGATAGCGACTTAATATATAAATTAGTATAATTATATTAAAATCCGATTTATTATAATATGTAAATAATTTATTTTCATATATAGGCCCATAAGCCTTCTTACGCGTTTGATCGATTGGGTGCACAACAATATAGAATATTCATTCCGTCTCCGGCTCTTTACACAAATATTAACCTAACGGCGCTTACAGTTTTCAGATTGCGATCTCTTTCACTCTCTATCTCTCTGTTAGTGTTAAGAGACCAACGTGAAGAGGCGCAAAGAAAATAACAGAGACAGCATCTGTCGCCAGACAGTCTACAAAATCGGAAACGTAAGCAGGCTATGACGAACTAGCATAAATTGTCAACAACGAATAACCGTTAGAAATAAAATTGCAATTTTTGGTTAACCCTCTGAAGTATAACAGATTTTTTACCTACTCTCATTCCCCATAAACATATAGTCAGAGGCAAAGGTCTTTAACATTATGAAAATAGCTTCTTTATATGCAAGTACTACTGTATAAAGTTACTTTAATGTGCGTGTGTCTGTTAGTTCATTACTTTGAAATACCGTTGCCATTTGTTTCTCTACGAAAATGGCATCGCAGGGCTTTAGACAAAGTGGAAATGAAGCCCTGAGCGTCGAGAGAAGACAGTGAAGCTTGCGTGCTGAAATTTTTGTTGTTGCTTGGGTTGTTTGGTTTTATTGTGCTGATGACCTTAAATTAGGCGTAGGTCTTCATTTTTTTTCCCCGCATACGTCGCTGTTGGCCACGTTCGGGTTTTCAACCGTCTTTTTCTTTGCGTTTTAGTCAGCTGTTTTGCGCTGCGCTTTGGCCTCAAGTTGTAATAAATAACAAAGAAGACAAAAAACTTACATGCTCATAAGAAATAACAACGAAAACATAAAACCACGCTCCAAATGCCTTGACCCGCAGGCAAGAGCCGAGAATAATGGCAATCATTTTGTTGGTTAGTTTGGATAAGCACAACGCCTAATGTGAATACATATGAAAGTGAATGTAATGCAGTAGAAGCCAAAAATGAGAGGAGGACAATAACAATTTCAGTTATAGAGTTTTGCTCCGCATGTGCCTTTGTATGTGTGCTAGACACAGAGAGAGAGAGGGAGAGAGAGAGAGAGAGAGACTAAAAGGGCAATGAACAAATGGAAAACCGTTGAATGGCGCACAAGGAAATCGAATATGAACAGAATTTTAGACAAGCCGCGCCTTACACAGCGAGGAGAGCGTAAAACCAAATGAAAAATAGAGTGTGAGAGCGAGAGAGACACCGTTGAGCCAGCGGCCGCCTCTTGGCAGCTTTCGCAGCGTTTCTTTGACCATTTCTATGCACAAATTGTGCAAAATATAATTAATTTTGCTTCCTATATTTTTTCTTACATCACTAAAGTACTTGTTGCACTGTACACACACACACACACACACACCTGCCTTTTAGCTCGATCGCTTTGCTGTTCGCCTTGTGTGACGGCTGCCTTGTGAGCTCGGGCTCGCTCTTACTGCACTGGTTAGATTCCTTTTGGTATGCTTCCTTTGCTTTTCTTTTGTTGATTCTTTTTCAAGTAAATTCGTTTAGTGATTTTAGTCACATTTCTAACTGGTATTCATTTCACTTTTTGTCCACTCGCGTTAAAACATTAAAAACGGATTATAATGTATGCACAAACACGCACGCGTCTAATATATTTAAAATTTATTTTAGTTTTGTGCTAATGCTTTTCTTTTCTTTTCTTTGGCACAACGCGAAAGAGGGGTAAAGTTGGGCACTCTGTAATTTAATGATATTTTAATTTGGGAAGTAAAACTTTAAAATTTGTTTTAAATCAATACACACACACACACACAAACCCATTTTCTTTGTGTTAAATTTTGAATTTTGATAAGTGACTTTTAAAAGATAATGCTGCTTATTTTTTCGTATCTAATGACAAGTGCAACTCCAAAATGGTGGCAAACTAAATTTATTTTCCATCAACGATTATTTTCAATCAAACGAAACACTAACCACAAATTGAGCACAGACAATATCAGACAATTGCAATAACAATATTACTGCTGTCGGTACAACAAATTAAAAAGCACACTCTCTTCGGCACACACACACACACAGACAAGCAGCTAATTTAACAATTTAACAAACATGGGAATGTGTACTGGGTATTTATTTATTTTTTTGTTGTTGTATTGTTTTAAACAATTTACAATATTTGACGCGGTAGCTGCACATTTAAACCCGTATTTGCATTTATTTCTGTATTTTATTTAGCACGTAGCCGTTTTACGGTATTGTGTTGTGTTTCTTCTTTTTTTCTGAATTCGCGCGCGCGCGTTTTTCGCTTGGACGGGCTTTACAAAATAAGAGTTTGCTGACACTTTTCTGTTTCGTTTTGGCGCGCTTCGGAGCGATTTGCTTGCGTTCGTTGCAAATGAAAAACTTAAACTGATCGAAAATTTCTACCGTGAAGCGAACGTGCATGTGTCTCAGAAAGCAGCGACAAACCTCAGGAAAACACAAACAACAAATAATAACCGAACACCAACGAATACGAATACGATCTTTGGCTGACGCTGACGTCGACGACGCTGCTGCCGTTTCTGTCGCTGCCGACGCTCTTGTGTAAATTATGCTATTTATTGTCGCTGCACAGTGGAACGTAAATATAAATAAAATTATAATAACTGCATACAGGCTTCGTTTATATGTACTGAGCATGGGTGTGCCACTGTGTGGAGCCTCGTTGTTTGTCGGGCAGCACTGACTTCGCTGCTATTTTGAGCTCATTCTTCCACTCTCTCGCTCTCTTTTTCTCTCTCGCTGTGTTTGGAGCTCGGGTCTCTCAGGGCGCGTCGCCATGTGCTTCGATAAACATAAACTTGTTTTTGTTGGCAGGTTTAAGCGCAGCTTACAGATTGTTTATACATTTTTCAGCTGTTTATTTTTTATTATTCATTTTTATTTTACGTATCTCAACTAACTGTCGCTATGTTCATTTTCATTTATATTGCTAACAAACAATTTACTCATTAATTTAAAACATATTTTCAATCTATGCATTAAATTCTGATTCGCATAACATATCAACATGATGCTTAGCCCAAATGTTGCAGGCTGCAACAAATGTTGCCGACACATGTTGCTGGCATTCAGCGATATTGCTGACTTTTTTAGCGGGTTTGTTGACGGTTTTTCATTGTTTACTGGAAATCGCTTCTAATGCACATGTGCACCGAAACTTGTTTAAATCGAGAGTGCGTTACGAATAGACAAATAATTAATACAATTTGCCGCTGTATATACTTTTCGCAAATGCTTATTTACTGTGTGTGATTATTTTTGTTTTTCTATCTTTTTTTTGGAGGCTACTCGGTGCAACGCGGCGACTTTGTAATTTCATTTAAATTACTCATACGCATTGAGAGCCAGCCAGTATGTGTTGCTGCCTGTTTTAACTTGGCGCTAAATGAAACACGCACGAAAAACATTTCCGGCCTTAACAACCAATATAGGTCATTGGTGGGGTGAAAGTGTGAATGCCACCCCCTTTCAAGGTGTTTGCCCCGCTAAAAAACAAAAAAAAAGCCTAGAAAATTTCCCTCAAGGTTACTCGAATATGCATAAATCGAGACACTTATGTAGATAATACTTGGGCTCGTTTAGCCTTCACCGTATGTGCTGCGTGAGAATTTCCTTTAATTTCTACAGTTAAATATCATGACTCGACTCGATTTGCAAATTATGCAATTTACTACAATTATTTCTTTTTCTTCCTCTCGCTCTTCAACTTGTTAAACGTGCAACTCAATACGCCAAACCTGCAACATCATCTTCCACCTTGTTGCCGCTTGGCTTGTCTTGCATTCTCGACTTGTTTTGAGCCTCGAAACCTTCAAGGGTATTACACAATTGACTGAACCAAAATGCATTGTGGCTGCGGAATGTCTAAATTTTATTAAATTTATAAATGAAATTCAAAGTGTGTTACTTATATGTATTGCTGTTAACCTATTATCTATTGTTCGCCTTTAGGTTCCTTATTTTCGCAAACCATTTTATATATACTTATGTATGATTCGGTTCAGATTGGAGTTGCCCTTCATAGTAAAATAAAATGTAATATTCTAGATTCGAACCGGTTCGGTGTGTGTGTGTGGGCGTGTGTGTGTTAATGTATGCATGTTACTTTTCGCTGTGCTGCGAATTTAAAAAAAAACTAATTTCTACCAAGTGCTCTCTCCTCGATTCTCACGAATTCAAGTAGGCTCTGCAGTTTTTCATGCTTAGCTAGTAGTGTTGAGTTTTTTTTTCTTGTTTTTTTCGTTTATTTTTTTTACTGTTTTTTATTGTTAGTGTTTTTTTGTGTACGTATATATGTATGTACGTGTGATCACCAATCAATCAGTCAGTCAGTCAGTCAGGACAAACAGTTTTATATAGAGAGATAACTCCTTAAGATATTTGCATAATTTTCCCAAAAATCATACAAATCTCTAGAATTTAAAAACCCAACAAGTCGGCATTTGAATTGGTTTTATTGCTTTGATTGGCCAGAATAAATACGGACTGCAATTAGCTTCTAAGCGTTTGAAAATCGATATGTTTAAAAGTCATTTTGCGGTTCCTTGACAGAAACACACGCGCACACACACACACACACACGCACACACACACATTACACAAATAAATCTATATATACTATATTAAAAATCTCATAGTTGCGCGCTTTTGAGTTTTTTGTGAAATTCGTTTACGCCTAAATTGTTTATTTATATTTTGTAAGATTTGTGTACCAAATGTGCGCATGTGTTCGTTTCTCTCATATTTGCATTTATTTATATATTTTTTTCTCAAATTGCAATTTCAGCTACTGCCAACAACTTGTTTACAAATGTAATAAATATGAGCTGAAAAAAAAAAAATTGAAGTCAGGCAAATAAGACAACTAGGCTGGATATATATATTTCATGCCAGATGTGTAAGGAGTAGGTTTTTAAAATATATTCATTAAAATGCTAAATTAAATTTTTGGCAAACAGCTGATGCAATTCCCAGATCCCGATTGAAGGCAACTTTGCGGAGGAACAGCTCCAGCTTCAGTTTCAGCTTCAGCTTTTGGTTAAACTGCTTAAAATGCAAAGCCGAAAACTTCATTTTTTTATTTACTATTTCTGTCAGTCATATGGCGGAAGGGGCACGAATCTTTTGCCGCAAAGTTTCGACAGCTTTTTTATTTTTGCTGCAAGCTAAAAATAGCAAAGCGACAAAAACAACAACAACAACAACAACAACAACAATGCGTTGATTGCAAGTTGTTTGGTTTTGCTTTTATGCTGTGTGGTCCAATAATGAAAAGAAAAACCGGCTTGACAGGAAAACGCAATTTTCGTTTGAATACGGAAAAAATGCATAACATTTTTGCAGCTCGACAGCGACGTTGACGTCGACGCCGGCTTCGCAGCCAGCAGCACCGGCTGTCCGTCTGTCCGTCTGTCCGTCTGTCTGTCTGTCTGTCTGTGCAAAACATTTGTATTGTCAAATACCCTTAAATTTGGCCAGCAGGGTAACATGATTGGGCTCATTCATATTCCAATTCGAGGCAAACAACATTAACTACGTTTTATTTATCTATAATATACATTTATGTCGATTTAAGTGTATTTTTTTTGCTTGCCAACTTTTCTAGGGTATTCTGGAGCCTGCTCGCAGCAAACAGCTTTTATTTGGATTGCTTGGATTTTCAGCTGTTTTGTCGGTTCGGTCTTGTCCATAACCATTTAGACTTGTTTGGATCCCGTTGTGCGCCTTATTTGGTCAGCTGACAAATAGACAGCCGCTGCGCCCAAAATATGCAATATATGGGTATTTTCCATTTTCCATTTTCCATTTCCCATTTCCACTAACCCACTGTAAGGGTGTTGCGTATTTCCTCTTGAATTATGCATATAAATTGCATACGTAATGCACTTCACACTTCAAAAGATACTTTAAAATTGATTAGCTGTGCAAGTGTCAGCCAAAACATTTATCATCAGATATTTAAATTATTTATTCATGTTTGTAAATTGGCGTATTTTCAATTCAAATATTTCGCCACTCAACAGTTAACCTGATAAATGATAAATTTGTATATTGATTGATATAAACATTTTGTATTTACCCTGCAAATGAGAAAATAATTAAAAACTGCGTTTTATGAACTATTTTACTGTGCTGCTAGCACAACTGAATTTAATAATATTGAGGTCAATGTCGGTTATACAATAGTTCTTGCCGTTGTTGATATTGAAAAGGCAAGCGACAACTTTTTGTTTATTTAGTTAACATAATATTTTATTTATGAGCGAAGAGCAAGACAGTTGGCAACATCAATTATAAGTCGATTTTGGCAATCATGCAATCGAATTATTATTATTAATTATAATGGCCCATCATCGTCGTATCACAAGACTTAAAAGATATATGAGTCCAGTTGAACTCAAGCCATGCTACAACTTATAGAAAGCCACTCAATTATAATGCCGCCTATTGTTTGTAGAATCAGTTTTGGCTACATACTTTTCCTATCTGATTCAAAAAACTGCTTCCAAATAAATTGATGAATTGAAATTTCGATATGAGTATAGTTATGAGTCATTTGAACGGGTTATACCGGAGGAAATGTCTTATTCATTCAGTAAATAGCACAAGTTTCCATCTTCCCGAATTTCTTTAAGTAAGGTTCCTCAACCTGCTGAGGAAGATCCTAACACAAAGCAGGAAGCGAGTAAAACCTAAATCGACTAAAAAATGCCCTTTATATAGGCCTTAGCTGGTCTCTGTCATATTTTCAAACAAGTAAGAGGTTCTAGTCGGGAGCTCCCGACTAGGAGATACCCTGAACCCTCTTCTTCCGACAGGCGATAGGTATAAAATGATAAATACTTGATATATATATACTATTCTAGAAGCTACATGTCAATTTTGGTGACTCTAGCTGATATCGATTTTTATCGATTACTTGGAAACGGGGCAAGTTATCGAATATCGGAAACAAACTCGAGCTGCGCGGTTACTAGGAGGACATATAGCTAAAATATCAAGTCTCTAGCTCTTATAGGTTCTGAGATCCTTGCGTTCATACATACGGACAGACGAACGGACGGACGGACGGACATGGCTAGATCGACTCGGCTATTGATGGTGATCAAGAATATATATACTTTATGGGGTCGGAGATGCTTCCTTCTGCCTGTTACATACATTTGCACAAATACATTACCCATTTTCAATGGGTTCAGGGTATAAAAATATGCTAACTTATACGACTTCATTTTGGGCTACAGGGTATCATATTCGTATTATTTGTTTCGCCGCATGTCATCGAGCAATATAAATACGTAGCTAGGCACATACGCAGAAGTTATTTGTTGACTTGT